CCTCATGCAGTATAGAGCTCCTGAATTATCCAATTAATGTATTACAGAGTGTCATGGAGTCTTTTCTCTGCACACAGAGGTGAAACTCCTTTAACAAATGAGCACATCTGTGTGCTGGGATGTTACACTTCCCAGAATCCACGGGAAGGTCTGCCAGAGATATTTTCTTCCCAGACATAGGGGGAAAATTTTTACAGGCTCAGAGAAGGTGGTCCATGCAAAAAGGGTGAGGGAGTTTAAATGAGACAGTCAGGATAACTGACATGATCAAAGTTTCTTATTTACCTGTAAAAAACCCTCAGTTCTGTCAATTGTGCACTGTCGGTCTACGTAACCCATCTTCCTGTCCCTAGGTAGCCCACATTCCGGTCACTCTTCCCCTCAATATCCCACCTCAACATCTTCCACTTGTTTCTTACACCTATTTGTTGATTCTACCTTTGGGGCAGGAGCAGGCTCTGACAGGAGCGTGTGCTGGCCAGCACCAGGGGCCCTAATCTCCACTGGGCATTCTGGGCACTGCTGCAATACAGATAAATGCTAAATAACAGCAAGAGATGTTCAGCAGGGAGACCCCCTGCCCCCTACACCTTTCTCTCCGTCCTCAGAGAGAGAGAGCAGAGGGCATCAGTATAGGATGAATAAGGTTGAGCCCTAGGATACTTGCTTAAATGGCTGCTTTCTATCTCTCCCCATCTGGGTGAGCAGGCCTCTCAGCTCCTAAGACAAATAACAGATCAGAATTTCTAAGAAATGAAGTATACAGAAACCACAGAACTAAACATCATCTAGAAGATTTCATCCCCTCTCCCAACCTTCCCCCAGACAAGTGCCTGACTTAGCCAGACCCTCCTAGCTGTCCAGAACCCTAGTGGCAGAAATCTTTCCAACCTTTCATGTTTTTCTGCCTGCATAGTGGCTTCTTGCACAACATGCTGATAACTCACAGACAGAATGCTACAAAGTCACAGTTCAGTATTACCAACACCAAGCTTTTAGGGGCATGAATCAGGCCCCCAAAAACCAAGAGATTGGCTTACATTATGAGATTTTTAAAAAAATTAACTATGTTCTTTTCATTTGTCTTTTGGTTTCTGAATACTACAGTTTACATTTTCAGACTTTTCTCTGCAACCACAAGGACTAAAATTTGCTTTATTCTGAAGTGGAAGCTGACATTCTCACACAATCACATGGCTCTGGGAGCTGGGTCTTTAAAAAAATTTAAAGACTAGCAATAAAATTGCAAAGAGTTGGCAAGACTGAGTCATGAGAAAATTCAGCCCAAACCTGGGTAATTTATCAAAAAATTATGAGCATACAGAAGGCAGGTTTTTAAACAAAACTAAGCAGCACCAAAATGTCACCAGTCTGTATTGTCTTTGACACCCCAACCAACAGCCATAATAGCTTTGTTTAAGAGAGAATGCCAAATTCCAGCACCACGGAAGACACCACCCAACCCCACCTCCAGAGATATCCTAATCATCACTGCCATGAGAGAACCACAGCCACAAACACAGATATGGTCAGAATGCAGGGAAGGTATAGAGTACAAGGATCCTCCTTTCCTTTCCCCTTCCGTCCCCCACTCTGTAATGCCAAATGCAGCTGGCCACTGAAATGTAGTCTCTTGTACTCTGCTGAGCAAATGGACAAATCTCTTATAGTATTCAAAACAACTGCCTCTAGAAATATGCTATGCACTACAGCACCATGAGGTTCCACAGCACCACAAACCATGTAGAATCAATCCTGTTTTCATGTCTTTCTCCTGAGAGAACTGTACTCTATACACTGCCCAAAATAAATCAGCTATGTGCATCCATTTTCCCAAGGGAAACAGCCTCAAAACTGATGCCCCAAACCACACAAAGGAAGGAGTATAAATATACACACCAGTTTGCTTAGAAATGTAAGCCAACTACATACCAATGGTCACATCACAGGGAAATAAACTCTGCCCTCAGACTGGTCTCAGAGATATTCCACAAAAAGTGTTTCTCAAACACAAAATCTCTCACCCAAATCCAATGCTCCTCTGAGATCCATCACATCCATCAGCCACAATGTCACTCACACAGCGTGTGAGGGCCGTCCCAGCACCAACACACCACGCCACTACTCACAGAGAGACAGACGCCTAGGGCTGTAATTGTGAGAACAGAATAGGAGATGAGGATGGAAGCAGAGGGTACCTTGCTCTTCATTCTGGACCTGCTGGCCCCTGAAGTTTGCCTTTTGTCTTTCTGTTCAGTCAGTTTTCTTCCTAGGGAGGAGCCCATGTCCCTCACTCTGCCCCTCTCCTTTCTCACTCCGATCTCTCAGTCCCTGTCTCAGGCCAGAGAAGGCTCCAAACCGGGATGTGGAGCTTGCAAACACATGCTTTCCACAATCTCATTCTCTCCAAGTAAAGCAACAGCAGTCTGTGCCGAGGGTACAGGTTACACCAGCACTGGCTTTCAGGACCGTGTTCTCTTCAAGTGAGCAGCCGGCGTGCATGTAACACACACACACACTTTGTCTCTCTGTCTGACAGCCTCCCCCTCTCTCTTTGCCACTGTATTTCTCTGTCCCTCACAGGGAACGGTCTCTCCAGTTGGCTGCTGGATATGGGCTTCTCTTTTGCTGTCTGATCCTCACGACCTCGGAGCGACACATCAGTGGATGCAACACACATACACAGGAAAAAGCTAACTAAATTAAATGCACAAGTCAGCATCTTCCCCACAGAAATCAGGTGGGACTGGAGGCTCAGCTTTTCATTGCACTGCCCTGTCTGTATAATAAGGGACAGATTCAATACAGTTTGGGGAACAAAAGAAGACCCAACACAAAGGGATTATTTTTAATAGAGGTTTGTCTGCAAAGTGCCTATGCCCTTCCCCACACATCTTTGGGGGCAGCACATTGCACACAGGCTCAGATGTCCCCCCACTATACACTAGTCCTCAGCCCCCCGCCTTTCTGAAAACATGGCCCTCAAGCTGCACAGTCCACTAGTGCCATACAATAGTGACTTGAACTCCTTGCCACTAGGAGAGTGCGGGAGACTTGTGTCCATTGCTCAGATGTTCTTGTGCCAAACATCATGCTACTCGCTGCATAAAATCTCTCCCTTGACTCACTCCACAGACACAGTTAGTCTCATGTTGCGGCAACCCTGCAAAGGCTAACGGAAGGGTCTGTAATTCCCTCTTCTGGGTTTGAGGGTCCCATCTGGAAGGACAAGCCTTTTGGGGAGATTGTTTTCTCTCTTTCTGCTTAGGATCTGTTAAGAGTTCCTCCCATTCAGCTGCTGTTGTTTTATAGACCAACTGACCCTTTTCTGCCCCTCTGCCCAGCAGCATAAGTCAGCAGCATCAAAGATCCCAACATCCCAGTATTGACCTGTGGAATTGTGCCAGGAGTTAAACTAAGGAAGCCTACAGCTGAAGGTCAAACAGACTCCAACACTGCCATGAGCATGGAGGAAAAAACAGGGACAAATGGCATGTGTCTGAAGGAAATTCCACAGTGCACTAATAATACACTTTCTATTTCACAGTGCAAGAGTGACTGGCAGCTGAAGAAGCCGTGCCTGGAGATGGCTCAAGGTTGCCCCAGTTTGAGTAAGTCAGAGTCTATGCCTGAGGGTAGATACGAGGGGTCCACATCCAAGCAGGTCAGAGTCAAATGATGGCATGTGGGGAAGAACACACATTATGAGGTTCTCCATAAAGCCACTACTCTCTCCTCTTTAAATCCCTCTTCTCCTGTGACTCTTATAAGAAATCAACCCTTATTGATGGCCAGAATGCAGGGAGTCAGGAGTAGCTCACACTATTTGTTTATTTATATTTTTTAATACTTTCAAATGTGTTGGACCCATCAAGCAAGCTATGTACACAGCTAATCTTTGGAGCTGAGGGACAGGAAGTCTTGTCCTCATTCCTCTTTTATCATCCATTGTTTCTCATACTTGCTGATTGCATCTTGCTTCCAATTAAACCCTAAGCTTTTCAAAACAGGAAATCCTGTCTTTTTAAGTCCTTGTGCAGCATCCAGCACAACTGGGCCCGATCCTGATTGAGCCCTCTATGCACTACCACTATACAAATCAACAACAATTAAGGATACCTTGGCCTGAGGGGGGGAGAATCAGGCTCGGGGGAAAGAAGGGTGTCTATGCCTGACAGTAATATCTGAGTTTCAGCTAGGTTCCTGAAAAAAAGTTCTTCCCAGTGTAACATCTGAAGTCTCTCTCTGTCACACACACACACACACCACCCATCTGCAGTGTACTTGGGAAGTGGAGGACTTGGAAAGTACATTCCTTTCCAGGAAACAACCACAAAAAAATCTTTTGCTCTTTTTACTAAAGTTGTCTCCATTCTGAACTTAGTTCAGGCCAGATGACGAGTCCCCAAAGAAATCAGACTCTCCTGTCCTGATACACACATGGGTTAAAGCCTGGGGACAAGGCAGTGCAATAATGTTTCTGTACGTGAGGAAGAGAAGCCCTGCAGTGTCTGCCAGGGGAGAGGAAGGGTGCTTGTCAATGTACACCATTGTGCTGTACTGGTATTCAGTGACTCATCAATATCAGCGAATAAAGCGGCTCTTCAGCTGGCCCATCATGTGTTTCTCCCAGCCTCACCATCCCAGGAGAGGCTTAGCCCTGACCTCTCCCTCAGAACTCAGTCCAGCTGCACAACTGATTGCTGAGAGTATGTAATCAGTTCAATGTCACCAAGGTGGGCTGCCAGCCACAGTTCCATGGGGGGGCCTTCAGCTCAGATCACTAAGTAACACAATCCAGCCCTTGGCAATCAACATACATTTTTAGGGGGGAATTTGAGGTCTGGCAAAGGGGGAAGTCTGGAATGTACACAAATCTCTTCTTCTCCAACACTCTCTTTGCCAGCGAGAGTCTCTCTGACAGACTATGACTTATCTGGATAGGCTGTCGATACAGCTATCCAGACTTCAAGCTCCCTGAGGCTAGATGCCAGTCTTACCTTTGTGTGGAGCTTGGCAAACTGCTTGTCATCCAGCAGACTCTGGGTGTACACACGCCTCTTGTACCGGAACTAGAGAGGAGAAGGGAAAGAAAAGTGGTCAGACACAAAAGCCGAACAAAAGCCAAGGGCAATACAGGGGAATGTGGTCTCGATGAAATTACTATACGGTGGGGGGAAAAGCTGGCTTAAAGACTGTACTCAAAGAGTAGTTATGAATGGTTTGCTGTCAAAGTGGGGGAACACATCTAGTGGGGTCCCACATAGGTCAATCCTGGGCCCAGTGCTAATCAATATTTTCATTAATGACTTGAATAATGGAGTGGAAAATATGCTTATAAAATTTGTGAGGACACCAACCTGGGTGGGGTTGCAAGCACTTTGGAGGGCAGGATTAGAATTCAAAATGACCTTGACAAATTGGAGAACTGGTCTGAAATCAACAAGATGAAATTCAATAAAGACAAGTGCAAAGTACTTCACTTAGGAAGGAAAAAATCAAATGCACAAATACAAAATGGGGAAGGACTGCCTTGGCAGCAGTACAGTTGAAAAGGGTCTGAGGGCTAAAATGGATCACAAACTGAGTCGGAGCCAACGATGTAATGCAGTTAAAAAAAAGGCTAATATTCTTGTGCATATTAACAGGAGTCTTGTATGTAAGGCTACGTCTTCACGACAAGTTAGGGGTGTAATTCCCCTGCTCTTGTGCACACACTTGCAGTAGTTCGGTGAGAGCTCACGCAAGTATACACAGCCGTGTAGCAGCAACAGCAGAGGCAGTGTCAGCGAAAGCACGACTGAGCTGTGCCAAGTACAAACCTGCCTGAAATTGGTGGGTAGGTACTAGGTACAGCTCAGTCATGCTACACTGCCGTTTCTGTTCATCATCGCTCTCATCGAGCTACTCCGAGCCTGTGCACCCAGGCAGGGAAACCACACTCCTAGCTCATGGAGTGGACATTACCTAAGACACAGGAGGTAATCGTCCTGCTCTCTGCAGCGTGGTTAGACCTCAGCTGGAGTACTGTGTCCAGCTCTGGGCGCCGCACTTTAAGAATGATGTGGACAAATTGGAGAGAGTCCAGAGGAGAGCAACACAAATGACGAAAGGTTGAGCAAACCTGCTCTATGAGGAAAGGTTTAATGAAAACTGTGCATGTTTAGGCTACGTTTACACTTAAAGCATTGCAGCTGCGCTGCTGCAGCACTTCAGTGTAGCCACGCAGGACAGCAAAGGGAGGAGTTCTCCCGTCACTGTCGTTAATCCACCTCCCCAAGAGGTGGCAGCTAAGCCGACAGACGAATTCATCCATTGATCTAGTGCTGTCTGCACCACAAGTTAGGTCATCTCAACTACACTGGCTCAGGGGTGCGGATTTTTCGCACTTCTGGGTGACGCAGTTGAGTCGACCTAACTTTTTAATGTAGATCTTGCATTAGCTGTGAGAAAAGAAGACTGAAGGGGGAACCTGAGAACAGTCTTCTAATATGTTAAAGGGACCTATAAAGAGGATGGTGATCAACTGTTCTCCATGTCCCCTGAAGGTCAGACAAGAAGCAATGGGCTTAATCTATAGCAAATAAGATTTAGGTTAGATATTAGGAAAAACTTTCTAACTATAAGGGCGGTTAAGTACTGGAATAGGCTTCTCAGGGAGGTTGTGGAATCCCTGTCATTGGAGATTTTTAAGAACAAGTTATTAGACAAACACCTGTCAGGAAAGGTCTAGGTTTACTTAGTCCTGCCTCAGCGCAGGGCGCAGGACTAGATGACTTCTCAAGGTCCCTTCCAGCCCTGCACTTCTATGATTTTATTATTCTAGATCTCACGTCATTTCACAGGTTAAAGAGCCTTTGTTTAATACAAATTTTAGGTCTAGAAAGGACCATCAGATGATCTAGTCTGCCCCCCCTCTACATGACAGGCCATAGAATTTTTCCAGTTAACATTGTACCTAGCCCAATAACTTGTGTTTGGCTAAAGCATCTCTTCCAGAAAGGCAACCAGTTTGGATCTGAAGACATGAAGAGATGGAATATCCAGCACTTCCCTTGATTATTTGTACCAGTGGTTAAGCACCCGTTGAAAATCTGTGCCTTATTTCCAATTTGAATTTGTCTGGCTTCAGCTTCCAGGCACTGGTTCTGCCTTTCTCCACTAGATTAAAGAGTCCTTTAACACCTGGTATTTTCTCCCCATACAGGTACTTAGACACTGTAATCAAGTCACTTCTCAATCTTCATTTTAATAAACTAACCAGACAGAGCTCTTTAAGTAAGTCATTTTTTCCAGCCCTTGAATAATTTTTGTGGCTCTTTTCTGCACCCACTTGTTTTTCAACAACCTTCTTAAGGATGAACACCAGAACATAAAAAATGGTCACACTGGGTCAGACCAATGGTCTGTCTAGCCCAGTGTCCTGTCTTCCGACAGTGGCCAGTGCCAAGCACTTCAGAGGGAATGAACAGAAGAGGGCAATTTATCGAGTGATCCACCCCGTCGTCCAGTCCCAGCTTCTGGAAGTCAGAGGTTTAGGGACACTTGGCACATGGGGCTGCATTCCTGACCATCTTGGCTAATAGCCACAGATGGACCTGTCCTCCATGAATTTATCTAACTCTTTTTTTAACCCTGTTATATTTTTGGTCTTCACAGCATTCCACGGCAATGAGTTCCACCAGTTGTCTGTGCATTGTGTGAAGAAGTACTTCCTTTTGTTTGTTTTAAATCTTCTTTAATTTCATTGGGTGATCCCTAATTCTCACATTATGCGAAGAGGTCAATAACATGTCCCTAGTCACCATCTTCCCACCAGTCATGGTTTTATAGACCTCCGTCATATTCCACCTTCGTCGTCTCTTTTCGAAGCTGAACAATCCCCATCTTTTTAATCTCTCCTCACAAGGAAGCTGTTCCGTACTCCTAATAATTTTTGTTTCCCTTTTCTGCATCCTTTTCAATTCCAATATATCTTTTTTAAGTGGGGCGGGGAACCAGAACTACACACAGTATTCAAGGTGTGGGCGTCCCATGGATTTATAGAGTGGCATTATGGTATTTCCTGTCTCATTATCAATCCCTTTCCTAATGGTTCCTAACGTGCTGCTAGCTTTTTTTCACTGCTGCCGCACATGGAGCAGATGTTGTCAGAGAACTATTCACGATGATCCCAGTATCAGTCTCACCTTTGCCATATGGAAAAAATCCCCTCCCTACTCCTACTCCTACTCCAGAAGTGGGCAAACTTTTTGGCCAAAGGGTCACATCTGGGTATGGAAATTGTATGGTGGGCCATGAATGCTCATGAAATTGGGGGTTAGGATACAGGAGGGGGTGAGGGCTCTGGCTGGGGGTGCAGCCTCTGGGGTGGGGCCAGAAATGGGGAGTTCAGGGTGTGGGAGGGAGCTCTGGGCTGGGGCAGAGGGTTGGAGTGTGGGGGGGGGGGAGGAAGAGCTCAGGCTGGGAGTGCAAGCTCTGGGGTGGGGCTGGGGATAAGGAGTTGGGGGTGCAGGAGGATGCTCTGGGCTTGGAGGGAGAGGTTCGGAAGGCGGGAGGGGGATGAGGGCTGGGGCAGGGGGTTGGGGCATGGGAGGGGGTCGGGGCATGGGAGGGGGTCAGGGGTGCAGGATCCAGGTGGCACTTACCTCAAGCAGCTCCTGGAAGTAGCGGCATGTCCCCACTCCAGCTCCTATGAGGAGGTGCGGCCAGGTGCCTCTGTGCACTGCCTAGTCCGCAGGCGCCGCCCCTGCAGCTCCCATTGGCTGTGGTTCCTGGCCAATAGGAGCTGCGGGGGCAGCACTTGGGGCAGGGGCAGTGTGTGGACCCCCCTGGCTGCCCCTACGCTGCTTCATGTCGCTGCTTCTGGGAGCTGTGCAGAGCCACAGCACACGTGGAGAACGGCAAGCCCCAGACCCCACTCCCCAGCTGGAACGGGGCAAGCCCCAGATCCCACTCCCCAGCAGGAGCTCAAGGGCCAGATTAAAACATCTGAAGGACCGGATGCGGCCCCGGGGCCATAGTTTGCCCACCCCTGTCCTACTCACTATTCCCGTGTTCATACATCCCAGAATCACAATTACACTTTTTGCCACAGCTTTGCATTGGGAGCTCTTGTGCAGTTGCTTGTCCGCTATGACCCCTAAATTCTTTTCAGTGTCACAGCTTTCCAGGTTACAGTCCCCCATTCTGCAGATGTGGCCTGCACTCCTTTTTCCTAGATGTACAACTTTGGATTTGGCTGTTCTAAAATACATTTTTTAATGGGCCTAGTTTACCAAACAATCCTAATCACTTTGTTTGACTACCTTTTGTCCTTATTATTATTTGCTGCTCTGCCCTCTCTGGGTCATCGGCAAATTGTATCAGCAGTGATTTTATATTTACCTCCAGAACACTGATGAAAACACTGAATAGCATCAGGCGGAACATCGCACCCCCATGCGATGATGATTCTCCCCTGAGAACTACATTTTGAGATACTGCTTAGCCAGATCTTAACTCATGTATTGGGCTAATTTTTAATCAGAATGTCATGCGGTACTAAGGTTTCAGAGTAGCAGCCGTGTTAGTCTGTATCTGCAAAAAGAACAGGAGTACTCGTGGCACCTTAGAGACTAACACATTTATTTGAACATAAGCATTCGTGGACAACAGCCCACTTCATCAGATGCATAGAATGGAACATATAGTACGAAGATATATATATACACACATACAGAGAACATGAAAAAGTGGAGTAAGAGGCTAATTAATTAAGATGAGCTATTATCAGCAGGAGAAAAAAACTTTTGTAGTGATAATCAAGATGCTATGTAGACAGTTGACAAGAAGGTGTGAGAATACTTAACATGCAAACTAGATACCATTAACTTGGGTTTGACTAGAGACTGGGAGTGGCTGGGTCATTCCACATATTGAATCTATTTCCCCATGTTGAGTATCCTCACACCTTCTTGTCAGCTGTCTACATGGGCCATCTTGATTATCACTACAAAAGTTTTTTTCTCCTGCTGATAATAGCTCATTTTAATTAATTAGCCTCTTACTCCACCTTTTCATGTTCTCTCTG